ACAGTTTGACAGCTGAAAGTTGAACTTGAAAGCTTGCATAAATTAAAATTTTATCCGTCTGTACTCTTATTGATGATAAAAATGAGCCAATCAGCGCGCGAGAAATTAGACAGTTATTGTAAAAAAATGTTATCATTGCGTGTATAGGATGGACCTGGGTGGGTAATGTATTTGTTTCTTACTATTATTTGGTAAACTTCAGTGTTAAGAGATAAGACAAGTCAGTACTTTACTGCACGAGAAACACAATGATTACGGTTTAATTATAATTTCCAAACTAAAATACAAACGACAAGGCAGATCAAAGTGAACTTTATTTGATGTAAAATTTACATTAGTTGGAAACATATTAAGTTTCACAATTTAGCATGACTTCTGAGAATAAATGAAGTTAGCATTGTTTGTCTATCTGCGTTCTTCAGGATTCTGTTTTATGGCATTGGTTGTCCTGTTCGTTTAAACTCTCTCTTCATTTCCTCCCATTGCTCAGCCGTCATCATAATGTCGCCTTCAAATGCGTCAACGCCATTTCCTATACATGAGCAAATTGAACCCCACATTTACAGAGGTTATTTTGGTTGCTTAGAAAATTTTTGCTCTGATTTTCCTAATTAGCAAGTGCAATATTTAAGCAAAAAGCACATTTTCTAACGATACACTTTTCGGTAAACCATAGTGCAAAGCACACTTTTCTTGCCACGTAGCAACGTTAAACTGGTTTTATCATTAAGCTACTGTTTCTTGATACCACCCATCCCGCGTCAATTCCTTTTATTTAATGTGTCATAAGGACTATGAACACTGTAGCATTTTACCTTAATCTACTCTTAGACTCTTCCTTCTATTCATTAATTAAATTATCACTGCCTTTTGCAGTAGTTGGACTGAAACTCAATCTCAACGTCCGGTCACGATAGTTTTTTAACACTCGTTCTAAAACGTTTTCACTTCTAAAACTTGCCAAATATCCAGAATACCTGAAGTAGTTCAACACTCGCTACAAAGGAAGGTTCTATCTTACTTCCCAAACTAGCCAAATATCCAGAATGACTGAAGTTGTTCAACACTCGTTACAAACGAGGATTTTATCTTACTCCCCAAACTAGCCAAATATCCAGAATAACTGAAGTTGTTCAACACTCGTTACAAACGAGGGTTTTATCTTACTCCCAAACTAGTCAAATATCCAGAATACCTGGATAAGATTTTGTTTATACACGTATAATATGCAGGTATAATATGCTAACAAGGCACTTGGGACTTAATTTTCACGATTCTCATTCAAGTCACTTTGAACTGTATTTTTTTTTACACATATATTGTTATATAATGATCATTGCTCCTCCAAGTACTATTGCGACGAAAATCACTTAAACGTTTTTAAAGGAAAGTATTCCTAAATTTAGCAGATCATTTACTTTAAGAAAACTCTTTAAGAGGAGTCGTTTTTTTTCCTGTGGGGGTAGGTTACATCATGGTTCTCGTAACCTCTCATGAGGAAACTACCTTGCATGGGGCAATTAAATTGTGACACCCAAGGTGTCTTCTAATAAAGGTTTCAGCTCCTAAAGTGATGTTTTTGTCTGTTTCCCAGTTGTAGACAAAGTGTATTGCTTACTTTGATTAACATTAACTTCATTGAGGTCTTCGTCCTCTTGTGGGTCTTCTTCTGTTAGAGGAATCCCTTCCTTGTGTTCATCATCTTGTATAAGGAAGAAAACATTAATTGCTTGTCAGCACTTTAAATAAGGTCAAATTGTATTGTTAATCAATTCTAAATCCTCTTCGTTCCTTTTTCATGAAAGATAAATAACTTCCATGGAAAAAGGCAAAACGCTTTAAGGAAAACGTTTAACTACTGAGGAGAAAAGTGAATGCATCATCCACTGTTCAGACTTTACAGTGGAATATCGATACTTTGCATCACCAAGAGAAATCGAAAGTGGTTCGTAAAATTGGGACGTGCTAATAGCGGAGGTTAAATGCCTCCTATTTTTTGGTACGGAAACAAACAATTGCTTGAAATAATCGGTGATTCGAAAAATCGGGATTGGGCTGTATATTCTTTCGGGAGATAAGAAAAAACAATAAGAGCAATCAAATGATAAGTATCGTGTTAACTAGGTTAAAAAGAATAATCTAACACAATATTTGACGATTTGCCTTAAAGAATCATCTCGGATGTGTTTGGTCTATTAAGCCGGTTTGAAGACGAGAAATGAACAGGTACGGCTAACAAAATATTTAGCATATAATGAACGCAACCGTTCCGTGAATATAATATCAAAATTAGAAATAAGTGAGGCATTCGATGTTCTGTTTGTATTCGATGTCATTTTGACATTGAATGTTCTTCAAGAGGATTAAAGTTTCAACTGAAATCTTATACCTAAGTTAATTTCGGAACCAGAAATTTTCCTGAGCAAACATCAAATTTTCTACCCGTTGTCATGTATAAATATTATTTTAAGTCCTTCATGAAATTATACCTAGTATGTCTTCTTCACCTGTGAGATTTTCGTCCGTGGCAGTTGTCACTGGAGGAAGGCAGATGAAAAGTATCAGGATTAAAATAACTTTCATGTTTCGACGGAGCTGTTTTCAACGAAACAATGAATGAATTGCAAATAAGACGCCGAAATGAGGAAATTACTGGCACACTGACTGAACCAGCTGTATTTATTCCCGTGGTATTTTTAAGGCATTAAGCCAATCCGGTTCAGTGCACTTAAAGTGAATTTAAATAATAATAATGGGTTCCACACAGCGTGTTTACTCAACAAAGATCATGCTCTTGAGCTAGGCATTTTGCGCAAACACGTATAGATCAGTGATAAAATGGCTCACGGTGTTCCTAATACAATGATAACCTGACATTAAAAGGGTCATCTGCATTGAGCAAACCATACGCTATGAATAGAACATCAACCTGGATTGGCTGGGAGACTGTTTTTATGCCTAAGTTTTCCTTCAAGCCATCTGTGTTTGTGTTCTTGTGAAGTGTCATCCCTATTCTTGAAAGACACCTCCATAAAAGGACATTGAAGTGTGACACATCTCGACCAATCAGCATCCTGTTATTTCGTGTAAAGATTTGTACAGCTTCAATTTTCCATGACGAGGTTTTTTCTGATTGGCTACTGACTGGATTTAACCAAATGTACTAGTCGGTGAGCTGCATTTGAGGTTTATCGCTGTCTCAAGTTAACGCAAGCTAAGTGAAATCCAAGATGAAGTGGCTGTTTTTGGTTACGCTCACTCTCCTTGCCGTCAGCGTTTTCAGTGCTGCATTCAACAAGGAAGAAGATGGTAAGTTTTTTTCGCCCTTTTGTTTTGCATGTTTTCTCCACTACTAGTTTGGAACAAAAACAACATTTTCCATCGCAAGTTTTGCCGCTTTATCAAATTTTTCTATCATTGACACAAAATGAACTAAAATCCGTCTTTTCCCGAAATTTCATTGTTTACTGCAGCAAAATCATTTTGCTGATGCTACAGACATGCGGCCAGATTCAGGGAAGGAGGTTGTTTTACGTACATCGAAACCGGCTACGTTTGAGATGTTCTGTAGAATGCGGGATACGGAGCTTTGTTCTGGACTTATTAATAACTTTGACTGATTTGAAAGAGGAAAAAAGTAGTGATCTAGATTTCTAGTCACAAAAGGGACCAGTAGCAATTAAGAGTTAATCTACTATTCTTTAATCACGCCTTTTTCACTAAATTTACGCAGTTGTTTACATAAGTGCTTTTACTCATCGAAGAAGCCAAATATATGAATGTGCCTTTCTTCTTGGGGGAAGTTAGTTCTTTTAACCAGTTATTGAATCAGTTCTCCTAGCCGTGACCAAATTTTTATCACTTTATATTTCCACTGTATGACTGCGAATCAAGACTCAAAAAGCGTCTAATCAGAGTCAAAAAGCGTCTAATGCTTCATCTCGTAAGAAATGCTGTTTGGTCAGTTTTTCATTTTTTCCTCGGTGTGGTTGTGAATAAAGACTCAAAAAGTTTTTAGTCAGAGTCCAAAAGCGTAAAGTCAGACAAAGTTGATGCCTCTACTAGTAAGAAGTGCTGTTTGATCGGTTTTTCACTGTTTCCTCTGTGTGGCTGCGTATTAAGATTCAAAACAAGTGTAGTTAAACAAAGTTAAGGCTTCTTTTCGTGGGAGATGCTGTTTGGTCAGTTTAATGCAATGTATAAACAGGCGCAAGGGAGCAAACCAGTTCTGATAACGATGGCCAGCTGCAAAAACAAAATCTTGAAGATAATCGAATGGTTATTAGGATCCAAGTTAATGTAAACAATTTTTGAAGCTTATTCAAATAATTTTAATTTTCTCTAACGACCGAGCTTTTATCTTAATTAAACACATTTGGTCAAACCTTAAAAATCACATTGCATATTAAAAGGATTTATTTAAATCCGACTTCTCGGTTCAAAATCTTCAATCCGTGACACGTATTTCAATCTTCATATTTCCCGTGTTTTTTTTAAACATCTTGTATCGAAATATAATTCAATGCCTATGACAGAATAAACGATCAATAAAATCTTTCAAAAAGCAAATCTGTTCAAGACTATTTTGGCTTCAAGAATTCCAACCACTTATAAAGTATCGACCAATTAAAGTTAAGGCCGAATGTGACGTTTGACGATGTCATGGTCGAGCTGTCAAATGCTATAGCTTGTATGTCTTTCAAATCTGGGGTTTTTGAAAATGTATTCCATGCCCTGAGTACTGACAAGGGTTTTCTTCGTCTTTTACAGTACTTTTAAAAGAATTGATGAAGGACGAAAAGGAAGGGGCTGATGAAACCGAGACAGAAGAAGGTTAGAGCCAAATTGATGATATTTTTCTTGATTTTCCTAAAAACATCTAGAGGCCCGGTTATACGCGATGTTTATATTTTTTCCTTGTTAATATTACACTACACAGGGGAGGGTCGTTTTGTTCGGGAAACAAAGGAAGAATTAGAAGACGAGGAAGAAGACGAGGCAGAAATGGCGAAATCATCTTTGACGGAAAATGACGAAAATGACGGTACCCAAAATGACGAGTCCGAAGGTTATTATGTTTTATTGATCAATCTGGTGCCATAGTTAACATTAAGAGGAATGACTGATGATAAAACGATAAAAGTATTCAATATTTTTAATCGACATCTACAAGCCTTTATACCCTTTACCTCAGATAGAGTTGATTGAAGCAAAATATGCTTTCCGTTAAAATTCATTAGATACAACTTTATTTAACGTTGGTTTGGTGAATTTACTGAACTAATTCATAGCCAGCCTTTATTCCACCCCTTCAGCTGCAAATGCAGTAAAACACCACAAACTTATCTATAGAGCTTTTACCAGAACTGCTCGGCCAATAATTGTTTGGCTTGAATAATGGTCTACTGCGAGGGTAACGAAATGACTAATATTGCAGGAAATGCTATATGGTTACATCAACTTTTTATTTTTGTTCTCCAGGTAATTTTCCAGAAATGGACGAGAAGGAAGCTCCCATTGACATCAAGGCAGCTTTTGATGAAAAAGAAGACATGACAAACGAGAACCCCGAACAGTAGTCAAGTACACCAAAAAAATTAAGGGGCAAATCTGTAGAATGAAAACTTAAAATCTGTCAGCATATTTCAAACCAAGAGACTTCTTGAGTCTGTAAAATAAAGTAAAAACAATCTGAGTATTTCGCCTTTTGTCTTGAGTTCCCTTTGCTTTTGAGGTTACATAGTTCTTTAATATATTAACAGCTCTTTCTAAACAAATATGAAGCCTATTTAGCTTATTTGGCTCAAGACAGTTGATGTGTTGAACACAACCTTCTCCTCGTTATTTGTACTTTAAAATCTGGCTAAATATAATATTACAAGAAAAAAATCGATAGAAGAGTATTCTTTCAGTTGAACCACTTCACTTCTGTTCACGCCTATTGGCGCATGTTTAACAGAGAAGCGTTGAATTGCTCATGTTGTAAATTTGACCCTGTACTGTTCAGATATCCTATCAATGTTTCCAATTTATGATATAACTTCACAAAAATTACTTTCAACATTAGCGCCAAAATAAGCATAGCAGTCATATCGGAGATATTATGGGAAAGGACTTTTATAAAGTTTATATGCACCCTCCTATGAGAGGTTCTTATATACGAATTTCTGAGACGCTTCGTGAATAATGCTCGTTATTCCTAGGCATATTTGCCACTCGAGGGATGAACTGTGGCTGTACTGGTACCGTAGTACTGCTACTCATTCTATGAACTTGCTTGTCGTCAGATCGAGTCTCTTCAAGACCATAGCGTGATTTCCACGGACAAAGAAATTCCATGAAATGTTTCCTGTAAGATTGGTTAGTTACACAGTAGATGAACGGGTTTAAGGTGGAATTTCCCATGCACATCACCACCGTCACTTGATGTGCAGTTGTGTCCATCTGAGTGATGTCAAATTTGAACAACAGATAGTAAACCTGGTTAGGAAACCAACAAATCGCCAGAACCACTGCAATGATCGCACACATGCGCAATAGACGTACGCCAGCTTTGCCTTTATTTGTTTGAAACAGAGCTGGTGAATCCTTGACTTTCATCCAGAGGCTCAAAAAAGACAAAGACGTGATTACAAGCGGTATAAAAAACTTTCCCAGAAACTCAACCAGCGCAACTCCTTTTCTGACATTGCCTTCTGTGAGAGACACCCATACACAGTGATTACCAGGCGCCAGTTTCATTTCGAAAAGGTGAGGGGCGTTAAATAGAAACGACACCAGCCACACCGTTATCACCATGACGTAGATTCTGTAACTTTTGAAACCTGCCCTGTACTTAGCGGGTTTTGCGACTGCAAACCATCGCTCGAGAGATAAACATGTTATTGTATACACTGAAACAATGCCCAGTGTAAACACGAGGTAGTATGATACTACTATTCGACAGAACAGTTCTCCAGCGAGGCCTCCTGGAATTGGAAAGTTGTGGACTCCTATGATATATGTTGGTGTCAGGATCAGGCCTATTCCTATGAAAATACAACAAAAAATGACGAGTTAAACTTTTTATTTAGTATAAATATGAAATTTGTTTCTTGTTAGTTATGTTTCAGAAGACTCAAAAGACATCTTCACGAATAACTGTTGTTATGTTTAAGCGTCTATTTCAGGCATGTCTGGTATGTGGTAGTAAACGTTGTGATATGAATCTTAACTTTCAATGCTTTTTGCTGACGTGAGTCCAGTGGAACTCCGTTAATACGGTCACTAACAGGCCATGAAAATTTGGCCGTATTTACGGGGTAGGGTCAAATTTCATCACATTTCATCTAAATTGAGTGGTCTTAACAGAAGTAACAGATATATCATAATTGCCCTTCTAAACAAATTTTCTTTAATAAGCATCCGAAATGCAAATATAATTTTTAAAAAAATTGAAACTTCAATCAGTTCATACAATATGTATATTGGAAAGATGAGCATAACTGGTTTGAGTTTCGGTATAAACGGGGTCAAATTGAAAAGGATTATACAGGTTGGGACTTCAGAATGTGGCCGTTAGCTGTATTAACGGGGTGGCCGCATTAACGGGGTTTTCTTATAAGAAAAAGTATGGTCATTTCGCCGGGACAAAAAAAGGTGGCCGTAATAACGAGGTGACCATAAGGCGGGTTCCACTGAACTGTCTTTACAAAGAGCGTTTGCGACGAAATGTTGGAGCAAAGCACAGGAATCCACGCAAAACGCAAAGTAAAACGCAATACAGGAATGAGATCAACGAATAGAGCAAGAGACTGTAAACTGTAAACTTTTTCAGCAATAATTTGCCGAAATGTCTTAAAGTAAATATGCTAATTAACCTTAGCGACCTTTTCTAAAATTACATGAAAACAATAGTTTGGGACAGCCAGGGAAGACCGACTAATGGTGATTTACCGTAGGCTCAAAATAGGCTGCTTGTTGTTGTTGTTGTTATTGTTGTTTTTATTGAATGTTTATAGTGGTCAATGCACTTAGCTACAACTAGCTAGTTTTCAGGCCTGCCACTTAAACTGAAAAAAACAAATATTGCAAATATTAATATAACAGGCTTAAAAATCCCAACTCGCGGGAGGCAGACCAGTTGGCTATTTACAAGCGTGACCGAGGAGTTGAATTGGGGTCTACAAAGAAACAACTCCAGCTAAGTGGTCAGAGCTGGACTTGAACCCGCGACCTCCTGATTTCAAGTACGGCGCCCTAGCCACTCCGCCACGCTGCCTCCACACTGCTTCCTGAATATCCAATCTAAACCTTACGTCATTAAAATTTCTAATCTCATTATGTTATGAGACTATTTCGCTTGACATCGTAAAAGAAACTTTACTAAGCCAATATCAGTCGATTTTTAAAAATATCGAAAAACGAACACCACTAAATGCACGTTCTGTTCGAGAGCACTAATTTGAAGTTACAACTAAATAGGTGAGTGATTCGAAGTCTAGCTGTGACGGTGAAAGATCTATAGAGCCAATGTTTGTAAGAGTGAATAATAAGACTACAGTAAAAGCAAATAGAGACACATCTGTTAGAATCAACCCAACCACTCAACTTTGTTGTGAGCACAAAGTGAAGATAGAAAGAACGAAACAAGATCGCCATCCTCGTTGAAGATCTGAATTTTGCGTGCTTAGACGGCGGCATTACAAATCACGAAAGTGAAAAAATCAGGAGCAATAATTTCGTGAACAAAAGTAAGATTGAGTTTTAACGTGATATTTTTATTTACGCCTTCAGATCTTATTAAAGTACGCTTCACAGAATCGCGATCTGAGCGAGTACTTCAAAGAATCTTCGTAATTCTTAGGTGCAATATTCATCTTATCTGATGTTAACTTGAAAATTGTATGACCTTAAAGTTGAATAATAAACATAGAGCCTCCCTATTTGACAGTCACAGGATTTGTCGAAAGAGAAGATACAATTAGGTATATCTTGTTACCTTAAAGCTAATGCAATGTTAATGTAAATACATTTTATGGGCAAACTATCTCAACTAACTTGATCAATAAAGCATAAATAATGAAATAAGTTAAACCCGCGATAAATTTCTACAAGACAGCATTGAACGTCAGTTTACTGTTGAATGGACAAGTTACCTGTTGTCATGTCCGTGACAGCCAGGCTCAAGATCAGTACGTTGTATGAGCTTCGTAAGAGAACTCGGTTGCGGAGGAACAGCAAGATTAACAGACCATTGCCACAAATGGAAAGAACGGCAATGATTCCCATAGCCACTCGTACCGCCAGGTGTAGTTCGGTTGAATGCATGCAGTCAAGGTCAGGGCCGCCGGTGGTAGTAGTATTGTTGTAAGTCATGTTGTACCAACTACAAAGAGATCAAAATAAAAAAATTAACTTGGCAAAATATCCTGACTGGAAGTTAAAGTAGAACGGATACAACGTAAGGTAAGCTAGCCTTAGTTCAAGTTTCACCTGCTAACCTGAGATTGTTCAGCGGCATAAACAGAAAATGAAATGTGTTTCCTCATGCGGTCATGCCATTTTATTTAGTGATTGATTGACTGATGAATAATATGGATTTAGAGTTTCTTACTTACTTTGATGACTACTTCAGAATAATGAAAGAGCACAATATGTCAGTAACACGCGAGGCACACAAAAAATATGACGCTCTGGCGATGAAGCGAAGGACTAATGATAATGGTCATTGACCCAACCTCACTTTTTGATTCTTTTATAAAATAAATCGGCTTTTGAGCGCAGAAATAACAAGGAAAAAACTCAAAGGACCAACCTTAAATATCACCATGAGCACATTCAATTAGTAATGAAAAGAAAACTACACTGTGTTTAGTAGTACTACTACCTACCGTCGAACTGAAATCTGTATTAATTTGTAAGAGATTCTTTCATTTGCTGTAAAATGTCTTGCCAGTTTCTTCTCGAACTTGCAAAGGAAATACCGACTTGAAAGCTATATTAGATTCACACGGTAATGATCGAATCATGTATTCTTCAACTTTACGAATTATTTTGAACGGAAACCCGCAATTTCATTCCTTGTTCCTGAACGCCCAGGCGGCGTTTAGCAATCGGAGTGGGTTTGCACGATTTTCTTACGCCTCTTTTATAGCATGATGTGGGTGATGAGCAAAATATAAAGCTCCCTTATGAATTAAAGGCATCTTTGTAAAAATAACCCAAATATCTAAAACGCGAGATTGCGTCAACGACCGAAGAAAAATATAAGAAAATTATGTCACGCATAATTTGGGCAATTGACGCACTAAAAGCATAAAATGTGAAATAAACTAAGTTCCTGAAGTAAGCACTTTTTCTTGCTTTACAAAAGAAGAAATAACTCCACACAACAGACTTGTATTTCATCAGCTAATATGGAATAACCAGAAACTAATAGCTGAAATATTCGTGGCCGGTAATGACCTTTAATTGTTATACATGAATATCACATAATTATATTGATATAATATTGGAAGCATTTTCACTTCTTACTTGTCACTTGTTAGAATTAGCATTTTATGTATTGGCATGTAAATGAAATTTCACTTTTTCCTCAACCAAAACAAGACTATTCTGACTACCAATATTTTAATTAACCGTTGTAAATTGCTATAGTAAAACAAAAACAACAACCTCATCAACTTTCAGCAAGCAGTAATTTAATCAGGTTTCCATTTGTACCTCTGTCCATATTTTTATAGGTGCATATTGAAAAATTAGCTACATCCAAGAGATAACGAGTTGTAAGTGTGCTATTGTATTTGAACTTCAATATTTTGACAGGTTATATAAATATATATATATTTTATACAGTGTCAGCTGGTTATGTGCTGTTGGTCAATATACTTTATTTGGGTTTCTTTCTTTGTGTGTCTGTCTGACAAGTGATGGAAAACCCAGGTACTATTGTTCCTGCTCTCGATAACTTACTTCTTGAAAGTAATCAAAAGAAAAATACAGTAAATCTTCAGATGTCTAAGTTATAGTGCCAAAACCAATTAATTGAGCCTCCTTCATTCAGCACCACCCACTCCAAACACTCCAAAATTCATATTGTATTTAAACCAAAAATAGTTGTTAGACTGACCAACATCTTATCACGTGCGCTCACTTGATTGGTTAGTCACAGCTTAACTTGCCGATAAATCAGAGCGTAAGTGAAAGCCACTTACACACCTCGTAAATCCAGCCAAGGTAAAGGTAAAGTCTGCATGCGAGCTAAGTGGCCCATCAGGCCGGAGCTTATCCCGGTTTCTGTAGCATGAAGCGACTAGGGG